TGTGTGTGTGTGTGTGTGTGTGTGTGTGCGCGTATGCCTGCCTGTGCATATTTGTTCGCGTGTGTGTGTGTTCGTGCACATTGAGCGTGGGGAGATACGTGCTAATGTGCGAGGTCAGGGATGATAGACATGATTTCCACTTCGATTCCTTGAACGGCGCTTGTGTGTGGATGTTCGAGGAAAGTATCAAAAACGATTGCGCTCGTGCTGTGTTCAACCTCATCTTGCCACACTCGACTGATCCTGATTGATCCCAATGTCATGTCCGCCGATCTGCCCAATGGATGATCAATCGGAACACGCGGTGGCAGTGTCGATACAGCGAACGCATCCATCGACTAATCGCGAAACACGATGAGATCACTCGTGATCGGATGATTGACCGTGTCCGCTGTGTCGACGTTATCACCGTGTGTGTGTTGTTCGTTCTGTCGTTTGTGTTCAGACCACTCGTGATCGGATGATCGATCTGATCCATGACAATATGCACACCACACACGTGATAAACCGACCCATCACCAAACACAAGTTGACCACTCGCGATCGGGTGATAGATGCTGTTAGCTGCCCCAACAACATCGCCCCTGATCTGCCGAACGGATGATTAATCAATGCACGAGGCGACAACGTCTGGATCACAAACGCATCCAACCGACCAGGCAATATATTACTTGCGATCGGACGATTGCTCTTGTGTGCAACACCGAAGACGTCGCCGATTGTGTGTTTCGATCGTCTCAATGGCAAAACCAAAACACACGCGGCGATGTGCATGCGTGCGTGTGTGTTTGCGTGTGCGTGTGTGTGTTGTATGAGCACCATAACCTGTTTTATGTTTCACAATGCGATGTGCGTGCGCATGTTTCTGTGCGTCTGCGTGTGCGAGATGCAACCCGTCGGCGAGCGACCTGTTTATCTAACCACCTGATAGTCATGGACTGAACAGTCGATTGGTCAGGTATTCTGCCTGGATCCATTGATTGACGATTGATCAACCACCATACCAACCGCCAACCGAGCAGCCGATCAATCAGCAAATACTGGCAGATAACATGACCAGTCGACTGTTCTGTGCATATTGATCGCGGAGAATCCTCAAGGCAAATGATCATGTGCATGATCGAAACCCGCAAACAAATCACACAACCTTGTCAAAATACTGTCGCACATCGAAAGTGGATCCCGATCTGCGAACGGAAGAAAAGCACTTCGTCACAATCTTGTTGCACATTGAATGTCGTATAACATCGAACCTGGCTCCACATCAAACCTCGACGGGCGTCGAACCTCGTCGGACGTCGAACTTTGGAGGACGTCGGGTCATCGACACTTGACTGTCACTGAACGGCGAACGTGGAGCAGCCACCACCCCACGCATCGTCGGTACAGTCCTCGTCATCGGGACGTGACCGTCCTAATCCGCCAGCACAAACTTGGCAGTGCCAACGAAACTGATCGCGCAATCAAACACCGGAAGAAGTTCGGATTCCGGCGAGCTTGAGCAGCTGTTCGAACACGCTTCGCAACCCCGAACCGCAACCACAGCCGCGGACGTGTGAGAATTTGAAGTCCGCCAGGATCCGAACGTCAAGAAATTGTTGGACGACGAGTTTGGCAAACAAGTGTGTCTCTCCCACGCAGTTTCGCGAAGTTCGGACCCTGACGAACTTCAGGTTGCCGCCTTTCGCAAGACATGGTTTGCAAGACTGGGATCCGAACTTCTCGCGCACGGCTCCTCGTTCAGTCGCTGAGTTCGCCGATTGTTTCTCTCCCGCGCGATTTCACCAAGTTCGGATCCCGGCGAACAACAGGTTCCCGCCTTTCGCCAGACATTTTTGCGGCTGGCTTGCCCTCCCGTGGATCCGAACCTCGCGTGCCCGGTTTCTCGCACGTTTGCCAAGTTCGGATCCCAACGGACTTTGGATTCGTGAAAACGCAAAGTCCATCGGGATCTGAATTTCTCGTGAACGGTTCCTCGTACACTCGTCAAGTTCGGACCCCGGCGAATTTCGCTTCCCGCATGGTGTGGGTTCTGTGTGTGGGCTTTCTCACGCCCGGTGGTTTGCCACAACTTTTGTTTCGCAAAAATGCGAAATCCACCGGGATCCGAACTTCTCGCGCACGGTTCCTCGTCCCATCGTCGAGTTCGCCAGCTGTGTCTCTCCCGCGTGATTTCGCCAAGTTCGGATCCCGGCGAACTTGAGATTTCCTCCTTTCACAATTCGTGTTTGCGGCCGGCCTGCTGGGCCGTGCATCTAAAACTGCCGTGCACGGTTCCTCGCACAGTCGTCAATTTCGAATCCCGACGAACTTCGGATTCGAGAGAATGTGAAGTTCGCTGGGATCCGAACTTCTCGTGCAAGGTTCCTCGTGTGGTCATCAAGTTCGGACCCAGGCGTACTTCAATTTTCGGGTGGTGTGGGTTCTGACTGTGGGGTTTTCTGGCGGCCGATGGATAGCTACAACTTCGGATTCTTAAAAATGTGAAGTCCGCAAGGATGCGATCTTCAAGAACTTTTGGGACGCCGAGTTTGAGAGACAACTTTGTTTCTCCCGCGCAGTCTCGCCAAATTCTGATCACGAAGAACATGAGGTGCCCAGCTCTCATGGGACATGATTGCGGGTGGCCGGCCGACCGGCAGATGTGAGCACCGACCAGGTCGACCCTCCGAAATTGGATCTTCGAGCGTGCGTTCCGTCTGATGCCAAGGGTCGCAGATCGCGAAACACAACGTGTTTACGAGTGTCTCGGTGCCTGTGTGTGTTGTTTGGCATGTGCGCGTGTTGTGTAGGGTGCGTAATGGAGGCAACGTTCTCGACACCACGAATTGTGGAGCCGATCTTTTCGACAGCACAGACCATGAGTCCCGAGATGCACATTCGCTTGGCAGAACCGTTTCCTCCTTGCGCGTGATCCGTGCGGCATTTTAACGGTGTAACTACGATCCACGGAGCGACCGCAGAGGACTTGGACGAGGACCCCTGGATGACCGTCGTCCCGTGCCTGGAGGGCCATGTTGACGGCTGGTGCGATCGGAATTGGGCCACGATGGAGAGTCGTTGTCCTTGGGCAAGCCAGTACAAGTTCGCCAACATGTTGGAGTTCGGGAACCTCATCCCGGTGTCTCACGCTGTCCTCGGACACAAGTTCCTGAACCACATGCGTAGAGCACTGGGCTTCATTAGCCACCATTTCAGCCGCCTCGAGTGCCACTACGTCAGGTCGTCGCCACGAACTTGGGGATGCCCCCGGAAACAAGAGTTGGTGGACTGCGCTCGCCACTGCTCATTCCTAGAGCAGTACCCGCTCCGCTGCCCCGGGAATTCTCCACAAGCTGTGTCATACTGTTGTGTGCGATTGACTGTGTCCGGGTCTGATTTCGCATGAGTTTTGTGTGTCGCTGCTTCGAACAAAAGCAGGAAACTCGTCGATGCAGTTGTGCTTGTGTCACGCAACGAGGTGGTGATTGAGGGGTCCAAATTCGTGGAGACGCTCGGGCCTGAACATGTAGATGGGTGGCGTGATTTGGTTATAGCAGGGCGGGTCCGAAACTTTTCGATGCATCGTGAGGTCGAGGAGAAAGTGTGCGATATACGGGACTGGATAGGGAATTCCTTAGCACGACCGGGTGTGTTTATTAGGATGAAATACATGTCCGTCTTTTCCGAGAGGGCATCGGTAGACGAACTGCAGATCCACGTATACGGATCATCAATGAATGCTTTGTATGGCTTCGGTTCACTACGTCGTCCCAACGGAACCCCGAATGTCGACACATCTGAACGAGAGGTCTGTCTCTGACGCCGTCTCCTTCACTGTCGCGCCCCGACGAAGTTCGGATCCCGACGAACTTCGCGTTTTGGGGTGTGCGTTGATTTGGCTTCGGTACTATTGGCGTCGGGCGGGCCGCACGAACCAGCGGGGCCCACGGGCAGGGTCTTGCTTGAGGCCGCAGGCCCGTCCGACCGGCCTTCGAGCTACAAGTGTTTGCCGGAGACCTAAATCCGGCTGGGCGCGACGTTCGTAAAAGATTTGCGACCTGTTCCGCCTCGACACGTTCGCGATCTGAGACCGCCGCCAACCGGAGTGCAGTGTGCCCTGTCCGCGTTCGGTTGCCGCCCGTCCACCATCGACATGTGCCAAACAGCCGGTCATTGTCGTTGCGAAATGCCAAAAGCACTCTTAGGGATCCTTGTCGCAGAGTTCGACGCTGGCTGAACAATTCTGAAGTTCTCCCTCCAACACCTTGTTCGGACCCCGTCTTGCGTCTAACCTCATACGTGATCCGGTATTTATCTCTGTGTGTCTTTCTTGAAGCGTCCTTAAGTTCGGATCCCGACGAACTTCCTGTGACGCCTGTCTATTGGACACACACAGGTTTTCTTGATCCCCCGTGGAATGCGACAACAGTTCCTGTCCGCGCTGCTCCACACGTTCCGTTCTGCCCTGCCAGGGACCCACACAATGTTGTCAAGGCTGCTGCGCATATCAGAAGAAGTTCGGATTTCGGCGAACTAATCCTTCTCAACCGGCCTCTCATGTTTGTGTGTCATTCCCAGGTCATGTTTTTCTTTGAGTCCACGGATCGTGTGTCTTTGACGCCGTCTCTGCCTGTCGCATCGTCCTGAAGTTCGGATCCCGGCGAACTTCACGATTCGGGAGGTGCGTTGGTTTGTCTTCGGACATGCCCGTCCGCTGGTTCGCACAACCCGCCCGGCGACGGGGAGAGTCCGTCTCCGACTTCTGGTTTTGATCAAATGCATTTGCGGAGTGTGTTCGCTCGAGAACTGTTCTGGAACGCCGACTGCATGGGCTGGTTGTTTCTTTCTTTCGTTCGCACCGTCTTTTAGTCTGGACCCGAGCGGACTTCGCATGCTAGTCTGTCCTGGTTCCGAGTGCTGGGCGGAGGACACTGCATCGTCCAACGCGAGCTTCGAAAATGACCGGCAGTCGTGAAGTTCGAATCCTGGCGAACTTCTCGATTTTCCCTATGCATTGGTCTTTCTTCGTTCTTCCGGTGCGCCGTCTGCCGCATAAACGGCGCTTGATCCCCGACACTCTGCCTCTCCGCCTAGTGCACTATTGAAATCCGGATCCCGGCGAACTACCCATTCTAGCCGTTCCTAAGTTGGGTTCCGGGGTGTCTTTGCTTGCGGATTTCGCTGCGCAAGAGCCTGCGTTGCCGTGTGCCGACGACTGTTCTGTTCCTTATGTGTTTTCCAAAACCTTGACTGCATGGTGCGTGGTGTGATTTGGGTTGTCGCTCGCAGACAGGATGTCTTCTTCAAAGGGCAAGGTGGAGGCAACGGGGACCTCCGGGAAGACATCCGGAAAGATTCCACAAGGAGGTCGTCTACTACCACTAAAGGGTGGTCGAACCATTCGAAGTCGAAATGGTTCATCGACTGGTGCTGTGGAGATGCTTCCAACCCCGCTGCGCAGCCATGTGGTCCTGTCATCTTCGTCGATGACGGCAAAAGGCGTCGAGTGCTTGGGGCCTTCTTGGGGTGGGAGGACGCGAAGGGGGGCCAGCGACATTTCCGTATGGAAAAGGTTTATGCCTCCAAAGGCAACATCGTTGCCAATTCGAAAGGGGTGTTGTTGGACCCCGAATTGTGTGAGGGGCTCGAAGCAGGTGCTGTGGACACCTCGTTCTACAGAGAACTCGTTCTCGTGGGTGGTTTTGTTTTGGCGCGTGAGTTTTTCGACAAGCTGGAGGACAAGAACATCGTTCTCGACGTCCCCTGCGACGTCGGCCCCTCCCTGGAGCTCTCGTTGCCGTTCAGGCCGTGAGGCGGTTGCGAGTCAAGCGGTGCGGTGGCGGAGGGTGGTGATCTGGGTTCTGGTCCGGCTACTCAGCTGCACCGCGGCGAGAGCCGGGCACAGGTCGACGACAGTGAGGACGAGGGGCCTGCAGCGCCGTTGAGGGACAGGCGGCGGTTGGTGTTGTCTATTCCAGAGGTTGACATTGGAGTTCCGGTTCGACGGGAGAGTGCGGAACCTGCAAGAAAGGTGGCAGCCTCTTCGAAGGTCGACTTGGAGGCGAGCGAGGGCTTGAGTGTGGATGAGGTGACCGCGGGCGGCCTGGGCACGCAAGGCACTCTGCAAAAGAGGAGGGGGGATCACACAGACGAGTTTGTCGGTGCTTCGAAGAAGCTGAAGAGCAAGCCCCCCAGGAATGCGGGAGAGAAACGAAAGGGGACCGAGGGGAAGGAGGGCTGACAGGTTGCCAAACGGCCGGCTTCAAGACAAAAGGAGCCTGCGTCTGAAACGTCTTCTCCACCGACGGAAAGGCCTCCAATCGACGTCGACGCCGGGTACTTCCTCGAGTACAAAGACGGCGTTCGGACAAAGAGGGAGTTCGAGGTTAGCCCTGCGCAGGTCGTCAACCTCGGAGAGTGGGAGGACCTGTACAACCAGCGGTCCCTAGATCCCGTGCTCGTGGAATGGATCAAAGAAGCGATGCGGTTGGCGTTTGAAAACAAAACGCAGTCTTACGATTTGCCTACCCTGAAGCTGGCACCGCTGGGGCTTGATAAACCGACTCCGGGGACCAAGGCAGAACGTCTGAGGCCGGGGGAATGGAGGGATGAGCTGGCGGGGCAATACTACTACTACACGGTGTGTGGGCAGCACAACGCGGCTGCAGCGAGGTCGCTGCTCGGCAGCGAGGTGGCCAAGAAATACGATTTCGAGCGGTGGCCTGCACAAATGCTCTACTTTTCGGACGACGACTTCGAAGGGTACTTCCTTGTTAGTTCCCAGGACAACAAGGACCTGAAGGCGCCCCCGAGATAGCTGAAGCTGTCAATGAAAGACATTAGGTGGCAGTGGAAGCGAGACGGGTGCCCGCGTGCTGTTATGGGAAACCCCAGCGGAAAACAGACTCAGGTCCGAAAGTGACGTGAATTCTGTGAAGTCGCACTCAATATGACGCCGCACAATAATTTGTGGACGCTGGCAGATCAGAAGGGCGACGACGCCATCAAGAAGCGAGGCGCTGCCCTGCGTTCCTATTTCCCGATGGCGATGGCAGGGGAGAACGTATGGAAACTGGCCGTCGACTTTTTCGATAAATGGGAGACTGGTAGATTGCTCGGCCACGATGGCGCAAAGTGGATCATGCGGAAGAAGAAGGTCAAAAATGTGAAGCCCGGGGTTGCCTACCTCGAGAACGACAAGACGGGTAGGAAAGAGGTCGTGTACAACGTCCCTGTGGACCCGCCGACAAAGAAAGGCAAAAAGGAGAAAGAGGAGGGCGACTGGTTCGTGCAAGTGCCTGAGCCAGACGCACATTGTTGCGAGGTGGTTTGGGTCCAGGCCGGCTCTGCGGCGTTGGCGAAACTCTGAAAACTGAGCGTCTAGGACATGGTTCATTTGGTGAAGTGCGACCGGGTGCTGGTGCGTCTATGGAACTACTACCTGTTTAAGCACGAGAAGAGGTCGGACGCGGATTGGAGCCAGAGGTGCCCATTCCTGAAAACAAGGTCCGCAATTTTCAAACAGTTTGAGAGTCGTGATTTGGATGCAGAGTTGTGGGACGGGAGCAGGAAATACGTTGCTGGCTCCTCGTTGTTCAAGGACATCCCGCCTTACATGGGCTGCGACGACGACCAATCCATCGAGGCGACGGAGAAGTTGGCCGGTCACAAGAAGCTGTCCGTCGACTAAAGGAATAAGGTCCTGTCCGTTTTGACTGGCAGTAGACTGAAGAGTCGCGAGATCGCGCTTGCCGAAGGAATTGTGCACATAAAATGGAAAGACACGGACGACGTGACATCCATCGCGCCATTCAGCAATGACCCCTTGGAGGCAGACATAAGATGTGCGGAGGTGAAGGAGGCGGTGGTTGCCACAAAGAGTCACACGTTCGTTCTCGATCTCTGTGAACTGGTGGACCTGAAGCTGTGGAAACCGCAAGCGTTCGACACTCTGGATTTCCAGCTTCAGACGTGGTGTCTGTCGCATTGGACGCTCGTCGTTTTCGTCCTGCGGTAGCAGAACCTCTCGTTTCTGGCATGAACCACCTTTGTTTCGTGAAGATGCTGGAAGGGAAGTGGGTGAGGAAGAGTCAACAGAAGAAAAGCTTCCCCGTCGGGAATAATTTGTACACGGAAGACGATCGGATGTACATACTCTTCAAAGGCGACTATTTGCTCGCTAACACGTCCATCGTCTACGAGGGGAAACTGCCGCTTGCCGCCACTGCTGCAGTGCGGCTGCCGCATAAGGTTACGCAAACGGATGTGTCCAACATCCCGTTCAACCCTTGTGTTTGACCGCATGTCTCGCCTACGCGTCGGGGCAGTGTGTACGGGGACATGGAACGCAACCCCGCGCAATTCGTTAATCTTCTCGAGTCCGTCACCAAGAAGGGGGAGGGTGTATGCTTCCTCGGGAAGCCACACGTGCGATCCGTGTGGGAACAGGTGAAGGCAGGACGGCACGTCATCGCAATGGAAGGGAACTCCGAGCTCTTGCAATTTACAATTGATCTCGTCAAGAGCGAGGTCAATTCGGGTGCCCACATTTGCGAGTTCATGGTCGTCAACGAGTCTCGCCCTCGCGCGTGGAACAACAAGACGGACATGTGGTTCAAGTTGAGTGAGAGGAAGCGGAACAAGATATACGACTTCTTGTTCCTGCAAATGCGGCCCAAGAGAGACACTGATGCCGAGTACGTGTGCCGCAAGGATCACATGTTCACGCTGCTCGACAACTACCACGGCGCCTCCCGCATGAACGCAAAGACCTTCCTCGAGAGGTTGCAGTCCCTGTACTTCGTGGAGTCGGAGGAGGAGTTGACGTTCGACAGTTACTCCTCCTTGATCTCCACGGAAGACGAGGAGACCACCGGCATCCAGTTCGACGCGACCGTGAACGAGGAGGGCAGCGACACCGAAAGCCTCGACCTGCAGTACGACCCGCATCCCGGGCAGCACACAACAGGGTCGTCCTTCGTAGGTCCGTCAACAAGCCCGACATCCCTCGTGTCACCGATGGCGAAAGCGGCACCTGGCACTACCCCGATGAAGTTGCTGCAGAGAATGCAAGCTCTGGCCTCCGGCCATCGCTCACTGCGTCCCGGGTCTGACATCCCGGCCGATCATCTGTCTTGAAAGGATGCCAACATTCACTTCCTGCCCGAGTGGAAAATCCCCCCTCCCAGTGGGACGCATGTAAGTACAGGGTCCCGGGGACCGGACGGCGGGGAGAACGAGGGCGACGAGGCTGGTGGCGGCAAAGGAGTCCCGCCTGGTTCGGAGGGCGGGTCTCAGGGCGACACCACGACAGTGGAAGGCAATGGCGGGGTGGCGGGGGAGGCCTTTGGGCGTCAGCAATCTACCGGTCCCGGTCCGGCAAGCTCGGCACAATCAGCGGACGTGCCCACTTCATCCGCCGGCTCGGTGATGGCGGCCTCGGTTGCTCTCCGTGCTGGCTCGGTCAAAACGTTCAAGTCCGCCGGGATCCGAACTTCAATGCTTGCAGAGCGGAGGAAGAGGACGGACGCGCAGAGCTTGTCAGGAGCGGGGGTGGCGAGTCGTGATCCCAAAATGGAAAGCGGTGCGGTGAGGGACGACACTACGCCGCCTGCGGGGGACCGCCAACCGCTTCGGTCGGAGCGAGAGGGTACGTGTGGAGGGCCCGACGATAGGGAGACGGTGAAGTTCGCCGGGATTCGACGAAAGGACGTTCGACGACGATGATGACAGATCTGGAGAGTCGTCTGACGGATTCGGGCAGTTCTACGGAGAACATCGCGAGGAAGACGACGACGATGATGACACGGCACTGGGTATGGAGACACAGGTGGTCACAAGCCTTTCGGCAGAACGTGATGACTATGAGGTCGAAGCAATGACGTCTGCCGTCGATCTCCAACAACGGTTCAACGACGCTAGTGTTGCGGTCAACCTTAATAAACCGAGTGTGCGTATTGACATCGAAGAAGTTATCGACGACATGTTGGGCGACCACCACATGTGCGCGCAGCCGTCTTCTACGCCTGGTGTCGACGACCCTCTCGACGTCAAACCTTCCGGGGGATCTATCGTGGCTTTGTCACCAACGAACTCTCCGATGCTGCCGCCGACCATCGCCAGCGGAGGAGAAGGCGAGATCGGGGGATGACAAGACGTCACATCCCCCAAAAAAACTGTCGCCGACACTCGAGCTCTCGACGTGCTGGCTTTGCCCGCGCCAACTTCGCCGATTAAGGAGCGGAGAGACAAACCAGCTGGTAAGCAGTGACAAACGCCACTCTGTCTGTGCACCAGTGACCGCAGTGTCTATCGATGCGGGGAGTTCCTGATGCCGGCATGCTGCAGCCACCACTTCTTCAAACTTCCAAGTATATGTGAACGACCATCCTGTGAGTCGGCCAGGTCACTGTGTGAAGTACATGTGTGTTTTTGTTGAAGCGTCCCGTCACATGATAGAAGGATGGTGCACGTGCGTTGGAGAGAGAGAGAGAGAGAGAGAGAGAGAGAGAGAGAGAGAGAGAGAGAGAGAGAGAGAGAGAGAGAGAGAGAGAGAGAGAG